ACAAAGTCAGCCTTTGCTTCCAGGATACTAGGCCGTGTGTTTGTCTTTTATTTTTTCCCGTTCTTTGGTAGAAATCAGAGTTCTCTTTTTCCTGAATGGAAGCCCCAGGATGGCATCTGCTTACATGTCATAGGCCCATTTCTTCCAGGTCTGACCCATCTTCAGCCTCTCACAGGAGGTAGCAGTGTGGGGAGAGGCCGCCCTCACCTCAGAGGCACAGGCGGCTGTTTGAATCGACATTGGTGTCTGGCTTTTCACACAAGTCAGATTTGGTGGCCTCCCCGATTTAGAGGAAGGCAGAGTTTTAAGTCCTCCGCTCTTCAACCTCACCTCCAGCGTATTTGTTGAAATGAAAACAGATCCCAGACTGAATCCTGTCACACATTGAACGCTTGAACTGGGCGGGGGGGGGGGGCACACACAAAAACAGCCACCAAACCTATTCCTGTGACCTGGGCCTGTCCTGGTGCTCTAGGACGTGCAGGACAGATTTCCTTGGGGACGGACTCTGCAGGAGGCTCAGCTCCAGGGGACCAGGGGGCCTTCTTGGCAGGCTGTACATGTTCTGTTTTTTGATCCAGGTGAGGATTGTATGAGTATTTCCAGGTGTAGAATTCTGAAACACACAAGATTTGTGCACGTTAGGTTAGTATATCTAACGCATGCCTCAGTAAAACAAAGTGGAAATAAATTATTGTCCTTAAGTTATTCACACTGTGTGAGCAGAAAACTGCTACATAGTTCAAGTTCATAAACCTTTGAATTAAAGGTTTTCCATGTAGGGCCTACGGGTGGGGCGAAAGCACACAAGGGTCTTTCATATGCATCCAGCTAATTAGTTTGTATACCAGGGAATCAGCAGGGCCCTTGGCCCCTTATTCCTCTTAAGGAATTTATCTTTACCATTTTCCTAGGTGAGTATGGTGAAGTCAGGGAGGGGAGACACCCCCTCACTGAGGCTTACTGTCTTGGGACTTTTGCCCAGGGTTTCCCTCTAGTGATCCAGGCCCAGCCCTGTGGCGTCCCCTGGAGCAGATGCAGTAGTTGCCCCCATCCAAGTGACCACCTTGGCACCGTGGATGCATAGTGTTGGGCTTCTGTTGCCTTTACTCTTAATTCTGCTCCCCTTTAAGTACAGTCACCATCACTTGGTGCTGGGCGTGTTTTGAGGAAGGCATCCTGTTCAGCAGTTTCATCGCTGTTGGAACATCACAGAACGTACTGAGAGACCTGGATGGCACAGCCTCCCACACGGCCAGGCTCTGTGGTGTGGCTTATTGTTCCTGGGCTGCAAGCCTGCACAGTGTTACCGTGCTGAATACTGTAGACACAATGGTAAGTATTGGTGTATCTAAACACAGCAAAAGGGCAATAAAAATATGGTATTGTAGGGGCAGCGCCTGTGGCTCAGTGAGTAGGGCACTGGCCCCATATACCAAGGGTGGAGGGTTCGAGCCCAACCCCAGCCAAACTGCAATAAAAAAATTATATATATATATATATATGTGTTATAATATTATGGGACCACCATTATATATGCAGTCTGTCATTGACCAAAATATCGTTAGTGGTGTATAACTAGATATCCTCTTCTTGGAATTTGTCTTCTTTTGCCCTTTAAGCTGCTCTTGGTAATTTTAACCAAATTTTGGAAGAAGCTAGGCAGGAAGATTCTGGGGTAAAATAGATATATTTTCCTAGGCAACATTCCTAGACTCTGCCAGGGAAATGGGCCTGGGAAGGGATAACGAGGTGGGATGCAGGCTGCTGGGAGTAGTGCTGCCAGAGGCCTTAACCCTAAGTGCCAACTCCCAAAAGCATTGGGTTTGTGCTAATGACCTTGGCTGTTGCCTGCAAAGTGAAATTCGGCAAGGTGAGGAGGTATGTCCCTCAATGTCAGTCGTCTCTAGGACAGAGTTATGGTGTTTTTGATTTGGTATAGTTTTAGAATTCCTGTGGCTCTCATTTCATTGCCCAAGTCTCTCTCCCTTCCTCATATTTCACACATACACCTCTCATCCAAGACTCATTTGTCAGAACCTCAGCCTCAAAAACAAACAAAAAAAACCCCAACAAAGCTTGCACGTATTCCTGAAGCACTGTGGAATTGGTTGCCCTAGCAATAGCTGCGCACTCGCGCCCCGCACCCCCCCATTATTTTGGGCTCCCATCAGATTTTTTTTTCCTCCTTCCCTTTCTTAAACAGCAACAGCCAACACTGTTATTAAACAATCTATTAAAACATCTTTACGGCCTCTCTTGGCAGATTTTTAACTGGATTGCAGTTACTTCTAACTTCAGGTACACTTAGTCACACCCCCATAAGTAAAAGCTAACTTTATGAAGAGGCTACTGTGATTTGCTTTTAGTCTTACTTGCTGTTGGATCCAAGATCAAATGAATAGAGATTTGGGGGTTTACCTGGGAGAAACATTGGGTATTGAGCTCTACCTTAATTTCATTTTCTGATATTGGGATATTCATGTTCATGTTTTTTATTTAATTTTTTTTATTAAAACATAGCAGTGTACATTAATACTATCATGGGGTACAGTGTACTGTTTCTATATACAATTTGAAATGCTTTCATTCAACTGGTTAACATAGCCTTCATGTCTTTTTCTTAGTTACTGTGTTAAGACATTTATATTCTACATTTAGAGAGATTCACATGTACCCTTATAGGATGAACCATAGGCATGATCCCACCTATCACCCTCCCTCAACCCACCCACCCCACTCCCTTCTCCCTATATTCCTGGGCTAAAATTGGGTTATAGCTTTCCTATGAAAGCTATAAATTAGTTTCATAGTAGGGCTGAGTACATTGGATACTTTTTCTTCCATTCTTATGATTCGCTAAGAAGACTATTTTCCAGCTCCATCCATGTAAACATGAGGGAGGTAAAGTCTCCATCTTTCTTAATGGCTGCATAGTATTCCATGGTGTACATATACCACAGTTTATTGATCCATTCATGGATCTATGGGTTTTGGTTTTGATTTTAGTTGATGGCTTTAACATGCTTATTTTTAAAGAACTAAGTGTTATTGAGGTCACAGGAGATTTGAGTATTTAGTAATTAACCCAAAGTTTGATATCTAACTAGCTGTATCCTGAACGATCAAATAACACTCTTTTTAAAATTAGATTATGTGAACATTAAGAACTGAATAGATCAGAAGTGATTTTTATTTTTATGTTTACATGCTGTGGAAAGCTGTAGAATTTACTTGAACCTAGTATGTTAACGTCCTGGCGTTCTGAAACCCAAACCAAACATTTTAGTTAGCATCAACCCAGGGTCATTGAAGAAGGCGGTGATTCTGGATCCACATTTTTCCTCTGTGAAGCCCACATTCAGGACAAGTCTCCAGTGAGCTGCAGGGATGGCAGGTGGCAGGTTCCTGCTTCTTCCCTGGTCAATCCACTTGCCACCATCTTGGAGACTGAAAGTGCTGGAGAGAGAAATGGGGCTGTCCCTTTTCATCACTAGCTTGACAGTCTCCCTCCTGATTCTCTCTAGTCCACCTTCCTCCCCTGCCCTCCCCACATCCATTCTCTTAGGTCATAGCGGTGGGGCAACAACTGTTATCACCAGACCTGGCCACTAGGGTGTGCTAATTTCTAGTGCCATGGTTATAAGGGCTGGGAAATAACCTGCATTCAGCTTCTTGCCAGCTGTGTCATCCAGCCAGTTCCCTACCTTCTCAGAGACTGTTTTCTTCTCCATAAAATAGACATACCTCACTCCCATCAGATGTTGATGATTGAATGAGAAAACGATTGTGGGAATCTTTAATATAGTCCTTGGCAGTGAGTAGTACATACTCAATAAATCATCACCATTTTAATTATTAATATGCTAATAGATGATATGGAAGATTCTTCCTCCCTCAATAGTTTTTGTCACATTATGTTATAGTTTAGATGTTTCCAGCCTTTGGCAGAAAAAAATTCCCCCACTCTACTCCTCAAAAACCAGGAAGCTATTTTTAAAAATTGTAATAAAAAAATATATATACGACATAAAATTCACCTTTTAAACCATTTTAAAATGTACAATTCAGTGACATTAGTTCATCCACCATGTTGTCCAACCATCAGTCCTATCTAGTTGCAGAATATTTTCACCCCAAAAAGAAATCCTGGAGCCTTTGAGCATGTTCCCCACCCCGATGAGCCCGCAATTATGGGTCTTTTGTCTCCATGGACTTGCTAAATCTGGATTTTTCATGTAGAAACGTGCAGTATATGGTCTTTTGAATCTGGGTTCTGTCAGGTAGCATGATGTTTTCATGGGTCATCTAAGGAACATGCTGATAGCATGCATGAGCACTTCATTCCTTTTAATATCTGAATGATGTTTCCTTCAATACCAGATCTAATTTATCCAATCATCAGTTGATGGGCATTTGTGTCGTTACCACCTTTGGCTTTTGTGGCTGACATTGCTATGAACATCGGTCTGCAAATTTTTGTTTGAACACCTGTTGTCAATTCTGTCGAGGGTACACCTAGAAGTAAAATTGGTGGGTCATAAGGTAGTTACTTGTTTAGTTTAAGAAATTGCCAAACTGTTTTCTATCAAGGCTGCACTATTTCACATTCCCACGAGCAATGTCTGAGCGTTCCAATTTCTCCCTACCCTTTCCAACACAAGTTCTTTTACCTGTAAAATTATTATAGCTGTCATAGATGTGAAAGTGTATCTCATGGTGTTGGGATTTCTCATAGTACTGATCTTGAATGTGTCTGGGCTCAAGTTTCCACATGAATGCTCTTAAGCCTGTGGTATTAGAAAGCTACATGAAAAACCACCTGTACAAAATTCCCAGTAAGAGAAAGATGTAAAGTGTCTTTTCCTTCTCAGCTTCTGTTGTAGCTGAGCATCATAGCTCTAATCTGTAGTGCGTTCAAGCCACATACAGATAACCATGGCTACTGAGAGAGGATGTCTGGCGCCTTTGGCTTTCTAATTTCTCTTTTTTGGTTTCAGGGATTTCCTGTGGATCATTCAAAATGATTTTTAGACATACTGGATAAGAGCTGAGCCACTGCCTGCGTGGGACTTCTTCTCTGGGCTCCATTGTCTTCTGATGGCGTTTTGACTGTGTCAAGGCCAAGTGACTAGCTGCTCACCATGAGTGATGAGAAGAACCTTGCTGTGTCCCAAAAATTGGTCTCCCCTTCGAGAAGCGCAAGCAGCTGTTCCTCCAAGCAAGGAAGCCGGCAGGTAAAGTCAAACTCTGACAGATTTTAAGGTGCAAATGTAAATCGCCAAGTTTTCCAGTTAAAACGTGTTCATTTACTTAGGAAATCCTACTTCCCACTTTAAGAACTTTTGCTTTTCAGTCCCATCTAGTTTAATTCTAGGAGGAGAGTGATTTCTGGATAATTTCAATTACGCAGCTTTAGTTCCTCCCAGGAGGGAAGAACTGTGTTCGGCTCTTTGTGTTATTTAATCTTTGCAACTGCCCTCCAACGTAGATATTAATATCGCCATTTTCCCCAGGAGGAAGCTGACTCAGACTTACCAGGTTACTTGCTCAAGGACACACAGCTAGTAAGTGAGTAAGGCAGCAAAAAGCCCCGGAGAGCAATCTGTTGGGTTTCGCAGCCACACTTTCCTTTGTATCTTGCTAACCAAAACAAATAGATAAACAAAACCCCCAAACAATCACTTTTCCAGTAATTATAGTATCCACCCCCCACTTCCTTCCCTGCCCCAAACCTTTCATGACAGCTTGTAACCACAGATTGCCCTGTTAGAAACTTTGCTTATTACCTGCTTTATTTCTCTAATAGATAAGGAACCTAATCAAGAGGAAAATGGTCAAAAGAATTAAGTAGGAGGATGGAAAAAAGTGAAACAAAAGACTTAAATGATTACATGTTGTTTCTTGGCTTCCTTTCCAATTTCTACTGGCAGAATTTGCTCCTTGTGGATCAATGGCAGTAAATGCATATTAATCTTTATAATTCTTCCTCTTTCAGTTAGAGAGAGTGGGCTATCAGAAAGCTGAATTGGCAACAGAAGTGGTCTCTCTCCTTTTCAGCGTCTGCTGGCTCTGTTGGCTTTTCCTCCTCCCCCCCGCCCCCCCAAGAAGTCCTGGCCTGGGCCTTTACCCAGAGTTCCTCGGTTCCAGGTTTGGAAGGTGCCTCCCACCTCAGGCATGTGCACATGCTTATGACACATCATCATGGGTCTCTCTCCATGTGAACACTGCTTGCTGCCCATGAATGTATTTTCTAGGCAAATTAGATTTTGCCACAGGCCAGGCATTGGGAACATCACTTCCTTCTAAGATTTAAGAAAAAAAAAAAAAGCCTCACATTAGTTATTATCTAATGCAGTGGTTTTCAACCTTCCTAATGCTGCAGTGTATTTTCATTGTTACAAAGGGATCGTGACCCACAGGTTGAGAACCGCTGGTCTAATGCATCACGACTCCCTTGAGTTCTATTTTCAAGAGGGTGACTGTGCTTGCCTCCTTTATCAAATTTCTACAGGGGTATTTTTCTTCCTAAGCCAAAATTCTGGTTGTGAGTTTCCTCCACCCACCCCGTCCCCTTTTGCACTCATAGCGTCTATTGCTATGCTCTGTCCATAAAGGGAGAGAACATGACTTAGGTAAACAGAATGTGGTTATGTGGTGGTAACACCATAGGAATTTGGTGAAATTGGTGAAAAGGTCCGATACTGCAGGAACTTTTTTAATGTGATGTTGGAAATTGCTTAGGTTTCCACAAAGCTTTTTTGAGGTCGCCTCATAAAGGGTAGGAGAAATATAGTTGGCGTGTCAACTTTTTCTGACCTTAAATGGGTGGTCAGACGTCAAATAGTCTTTTATATCTAGACTCTCCCACTTTAATACATATGTTTCTTTGTAAGTGTAAACTTATATTTCCTCTGTGGAGAATTTAGTAAGTTTATTTACCCTTAAGTCTGAAGTGAGTTATAAAGTCCATGTTTAATTTTCAGGGGGCCATTTTTGTAGTTCCTCTGCTTTCTCATTCTTCTGTTAAAGAAAGGTGTCCTGTCCCAGGACACCCTCTGCACTAGCATCATGTAATCATCCTCAGCAGCTCGTGTCTATTCTTCCTTCACAAACTGGCCCAAACTGGCTTTGAAGGTGCTGCAGGGGTGCAGGAGCCTCGGAAGCGCTGGCTTCAGAGCTCTTAAGGAACACAGCCACATCTGGTGGCCTCTTGGTTCTTAATTATAGGGAGGGCACTGTTGCCAGTCACATCACTGGCAAGTACAAGTTAAACATTTAAAACCTCAAATTTTACATAGTGAGATGTTTAAGGAATATTAAAATATAACTGCAGCTAGTCTGTGAAAATGTCTACTTGTTTTTAAAACTCCAGTTTAAAATCATTTTCAAGTTACTCTGTTCTTTTCCTTGCATCTGGAGGGGATCTACCGGATGTTGATTTTATTTGCCATCTTTCTTAGTGCTAGTTTTTCTTCTGTGTATTGGAATTAGGGCTCAGAACCTCACATGTTCTTTCTCTACGCTCACCCTGACCCATCTAGGGGTTTGCTGTTGCCTACTTCCTACCTCCAAGGACCCAATCCAGAGCCAAGTCGTATGTTTATAGGTAGGGTCTTCTGCTCCATGGTGATGGACTAAGACCTAGCACCAGGCCCAGCTTCAGCTTGTGGGGCTGTGTCTGCCTCCTGTCTCCTTCCTGGACTAGCAGACTTTTAAAGCTTCACTGTAGTGTGGAAGCTTCCTCTGTCTCTTCTTCCCCACAATGAGCCTGGCCCAGGCTCTTACCTTTTTCTAGGGACGTCATTAGCCCACATAAGCAGCCTAATGGACACCTTTGTCCACAGTATATTCTGCATTTCTTTGGTTTCTGATCCTCAGAGATAATCTTTTTATTGTCAGGATCCGGGACTGGCCAGGTCTACGGGCCTGGCTTAGGTAGGTTCTGGACACGGACCAATAAGCTACCTTGCTCAGGAACAGTTTCTCTTAGGTGCTTGAGGGCTATCTACTTTAGCTATAGAGAGAGTATCTTAGAATAAAGCAGTCTTAGAACAGAGAGCTTAGTCTTTAGCAGAGCTTGGTAATCTTCAGCAGAGACACGCCGTGCTAGCGTTCTGCAGGCAGGAGAGGAGATAGAGTCAGAATAAGTCTATCTGTGATAGAATGCCTATGCCTCTTGTCTGCCTTCTCCTCCAGCCTAATATAAGGCTGAGCTCGTGCTTCTCAACACCACAGGTGTAGAGACTGCCAATTCACCAATGCTCTCATCTCGCGAGCTCTCTCATGCTTGTTAGAACTAAATCTCTCTCCATGCCCTTTTCACCAAGGTGTTCCATTACAGGTATTTCTTATAACTCTCACACCTCCTAGCCATAAGCTATATGGGCTGCTACATTTCCCCTCTTTTTTATATACAAACAATTTTTAGTGTGATAAGGGCAGTTCTTTCTGTTATTTAACTGTAGGAACTTTCCGTTGATATTTACTTAATGGATGAACAAAAGATAATGCTTTCCTTGCAATCTTTGCAAGCAAGGATTTTTCTCTTGCTATTCCAAAGGTTTTGCTACTAGAGGTCCCTAAGTCCACCCTTCACAGCTCTCAAAAGACTGTTACTCAAGGACTAATGGTTCCACACTTGGCAGTTCCTCTGGTGGAACTGTTACTCGTGGGCCAAAAGGTACCACCCTTCACAATTCCTCGATAGCAGAGTTTTTCCTGCTTTCAAGCTGCTTTTCCAGCAAAATTTTTGCTAATTGATTCCAGGCTCCTTTTTTTCAAATGGAGTTTCCTAGCACAAAGGTGGCTTAACTTTTACTCTTCCTTCCCTTTGTTCTCACCTCTCATAATCTTACAAAGGCTTCACTTGCTTCCAAGTGACACTTGCCCTTCAGGCCGTGTCCAGGCTCCTTAGCTGGACCCAGTTATAGTGCAGACACTGGTGAGAGGTGGGTTACCCCTTCACCAGGCAGCAGGATAACCTAATATTCCACAAACATATTTAATCTAATTATTCTCCATTGTCATCCATTGGTCTTGTTTAATCTCCCCAGTTTTATGCTGAGACACCACAGGTCTAACCAAGCTGGCAGAGTGCTCCCATGGCATAGAATTGAATCGTACTGTTTTTTCTGAGAATGGTTTGAAATGAAAATATTAAACTTTCTTTCATTTACCAGTGGGTCCTGATTCTGGCCCAACTGATAATTTCCCTACAGTAAAGGTGTTCCATCTCTATCAAATTGATAACGGCATTTGTTTGCCCAATGAATGCCTTTTTTACACTTGGGACACACACATGGAGGTTTACATGCTCTTTATTCCTTTTCTTTAGCATTCAACGTTCTTTTCCCTTTTAAACTCTTATGGCCTAGCTTCCCACATTTATGGCATTTGACGTTAACTGGGGGATTTACCCTCTGATCTTCCAGCTGCCCAATTTGAGTTATCATGTCAATACAGCATTTACCTGCTTCTACTATAAGATTCATCTGATGTCACAACTGTATTTCAAGTGCTGTATCTCATTTACCACAATTTTTCTCTACTGGCTTTTTTTTTTTTCTTTCGTCCTTTTACTTTTTACAATCTTTCCTTTTCAATTCTTAGAACCTTTGGCTGCCTTAAAGAGACAGGAGCTCTAGCTATTTTTTACTCTGGAGTCTTGTTTTAAAAACTTTACTTCCGCTATTTCTTCACCAGCCTCAATCTACCTCAATTCTTTTCTTTTTAAACAGAACTCTTAACTGCCAAAAAGGGAATCGGGGCGTCAGTCTCTCAAAAGCTACTTCCTGCTGGCATTGGGCGAAGATATAGGGGAAGGCAGTTAGAAGTTCTCTTCCCTAACTTAGTAAACTCTTGCAACCTATTCCCAGCCTTTTCTCTTTGCTGTTTTACCCAAGGCTTTTCTCACCCTGAGGCTAAAGGCTTGTTTACTAAAGGTTCTTGTCTCCTAGTTCTAGCTTTCCTCTTTCCCTCTTGTCTAAAGGCTTTTTTCTGTTTTTTTTTTTTTTTTTTCCCCTCCAGCCGCTTCACAGAAGAGACTAAAGGCTTTTACCGGCTTTTTCCCCACAGTAGTAGTTGGAATTGGAAAGAGAAAATGTAGGAAAGAAGAGGAAAAACCAAATGAGAGAGGCCTGCTGTTGGCTGCCTTTTAGATATTTCTTTTCTAAGTATTTCTATTTCTCTTCTTTTTCTTATTTTGCTAATGCTTATTTCCCTCTCCGTCCACGTT